GCGTGCATATGCAGGACGGCCAAATGTTTTAACTTCACTTAAGTTTTAATAGCAGCCCCAGAACGATTCGAACCATGGAAATTTTGTGTATAATCACTAAACAGTAATAATTACACCACATTGCCACGAGTGCTTTTAAGTCATAGGGCATGTATGAATCTCAAAGAAGGCCAGACGTCAAGTAAACAAGGCAATTTATTTATAAAATTGTCATTTTTTGGTTGAATATATTACAATATATACAATACTTTTTATTTTAATGCTTTGGCCTATTTATGTTGTCGTAAATAAATGCAATTCAGCAAATTGGATCAATCTACTTGCACAAAAAACAGATTAAACCCAGACCATTTTATATAATCGAGGCTTTCGTGTTTAAATATTTGCTTAGGTTAAATTTCAACTTCTGATAGGCTAAGAAGTAGACTAGATTCAGGGAGACGACTTAATTGGTCAAGGCAAATTATGAGTGCAGATGAGCGATGCTTTGATAATTGAGTGTTAAGAGATACTTACGTATGTGATACAGTGAGACGAACAGTTATAGAAAGATAGCTTAATGATATGTTACTGTGATTGCATACATTCCAGACCTGAGTTTTTAATTGATTTCTCTGAGTTAAAAAAATTTTAATATGCTCATTTATTCTATCAGATCTTTCATAAAGTCATTATCCAAGATGCACCTCCTTAGCCGGAGCAACATTGCTTTTATTACACTTTTAAACGATTCTGTAGATAGGTTTCCACCATTTTTTAGCTTACTCCCTCATTACTATTGTCACAGATATGCTTATTACTAGAATATAATACCTATTTAACCTCCTGTTTATCATTCAGATCTCATTTTAGGTCACTTTGTGCAAAGTAAGTTTTGAATGTAAAGGTTTATCACTTATTATCTGCCAAAATCTACAATAAAATCTACTTTTTTATTCCGTTAATTCCAGGGAGAATATATATATTAGCTAATTATATTACTTACAATTTTATACAGACTGGAACTTATTCATAATATTGGTGCAAATTTCAGGCTTTCAGGAGACCTAATAAATGAATCTATAGATTAATCTGCTTGATACTAGTGTTAGAGGGACCTTCATTTCGGATGAACGTGCATAAAGAAGAGATCCGGTTGTCGATCTCACCAGATGAACACGGATAAATCTCGTTGTACTGCAGCCGTTTGGCTTTTAGACGATATTCATATTGACGCAGTCAACGAGATTTCCTCTCTCGTTTCGGGTGAAAAAGTACTGAGCTTTCGTCCATCATATGATGGACATCATCAGAGCTGGATGTCATTCCTGTAAAAGTCTTACGTTAACACTAAAGCAATTATAATTTTTATATATATATTTTTTATACTATACTGTCATACTAACTTAAAGCATTTTTTGGTCATTTACTAAGGTATATGACACGCATTTTTTAACCTATCCAGTCATTCATGTTAAAATGCTGCTTTGACTTTAGGCTAAAGGCAAAAAATCGAACTAACTAAATTCGCCAATATTATTATGATTTAAAGCTTAAAATCCAGAATGAGCAGAATTATATTCTTAAATAGCCATTGATCAAGTTGAATACAAAAGCATTGTTAAAAAGCTAAAAAGGACAATTAAATTTCGAGATTATTTTCATCCTTGTTATTTTACGGGAAATACCGCCTTTTAATGTTATTAAAAGTTTGATCTGATTAGCGGAACATATTTATTGCTAGCTTATTTGAATTCAGCTAAGAACCGACAACCTGATATTAAAATATTTAGGCATAATATGAGTATATAATAAGTAAAAACTAGTTTTAAGTCAAAATAATCTAAATTATTTGCCTCGAATAAGGTCTATTTATAAATATCCTTGAAATGCTCGTCATACTGATTATAGCGTATGATGCTATTTAACCCTTCTATATTACACTTTAGAGCTGTCATTAAAATATATTCGCATGTAACTTACAATTGTAATAAGAATTTACTTGGTCTTACACTTATTGCGACATTTTGTTGCTTGTTTTATAAGGCTAGGCAAAACGCCGCCCCACCCAAGGCCAATCTTACCCCATATTCGCACAGTTCCTAATGGCTCAGCAGGTTCATTCCCGTGATATTTCGCACCAGAATAACAACCTACCGCAAAAATGCTGCTCATGCGCACCCAGTTGGGTCAAGACTTTCTTGATTTTCTTTACGTCCATTATCCTAGTAAGCCGTTAACCCGTTTGAGCGCCCCTAGATTATAGCCCTGGCCCTCATTTCTCTGGGGGTTTACCTTTTAGTTATTAGACTTGGATTTATATCAGTACTGGTAGGGGAGGTAGCGTACATAAACCACTTCGCGCTTTTTGTCGTTGGAGCACTCTTGATTGCTACGTGTATTTTCGGATATTTCGCTGTCTCGAGTCGAAATCGATTAATGCTATTGTGTGTACGTAATCTATTGAATAAGTAACATATTTTAGTATGCTTGGCTCCTTTTATTAGTTATTCTATTACAAGTCGGGACTGGTGTCTTAGCTCTATTGTACCACCAGGTCGTCTATGAATGGCTTGCCGATCGTTTGACGTACACCATGACGTCCTATTATTATAGTAACAAGGAAATCACAAAATCAGTCGATAAGTTGCACGGCGCCCTGAACTGCTGTGGCTCCAGGTCTTATAGGGACTGGTCCGAAAGTGTTTACCTCACCAAGATACATGAGCTAGACCAATCAGAGTCCTCCGGTGGTGAGAGATCAGTATACTTATTTGACCATAATTCAACAAGAGTGCCAGACTCCTGCTGCAGGGGATCAAGACCCTACTGTGGGAGATTAGCCCATCCATCGAATATCCACTACCAGGTAAGTATCGGCTCCGAACCGTTCTCGGCCGCATCGGATCACAACTTAACAATTTACAGGGTTGTATGCAAGGGATGTATGAAAGACTCAAGGAACACCTGTTCGTGATTTTCGTAGTGATATTTGCCCTGGTAACAGTCGAGGTGAGATTGTAGCATTATTGAATTGTCTATACTAGAGCATTGGCGTCTTTTTAGCGTGCTGTTATTCCAAAGCCGCCACCAAATACTAACCGGTTATCTACACTGGGTTGAATGATCAAATTACATCGAATACAAGATATGCTTCCAAACATTTGTCTTTTTTCGAATAAATTTTTAAAATATCTTATCTTACACTTTTATTGAAGTCAGAAACAATAGATTGTATGACAGATATTGTGACAGTTCTTCACGCATCACCGTTGTATTCGGCTCTAATTTCGGCGCCGTATTCACCGTATTGGGATATCATTTCGTCGCGATATCGGTCACGGCGCCGTTCACGACTTCTGCTTCGACTGCGCTTCCGACGTTCTTTATCCCGGCTCTCTGAAAAAGACAATCCGAAAAATAAATAATAAATATATGCAGAAAGAACGATAAATTCGCCGACCATGAGGGAAACACAAAGTTAAATAGCGGGCAGCCATTGACCCTACAAGATGAACTGTTCGGTTGACGAGACGCTTCCTCATTATTTTCGTTTAGATATGCAGATGCAAAATAACTATATGGGGAGGGCTCATCTATTAGTTAGCTTCACCTATAATTGCGCGGATTTTGACAATGGACGAACTTTGCAGTGGTTAGGAAAATTTAGCTGACAGGAATTTAAACGAATCAGCAAACAAAAACTAAATGAACGAAATCCCTGGCGCCAACAAAAGCATAAATTTGCACTTACTACTTCGTTTTTTGCGCTCTCTATCTTTGCTACGACTTCGGCTCTTGCGGCGTCGCTCTTTGTCTCGATCCCGATCTCTGTCGCGCTCGCGATGACGGTCTCGTTCGCGGTCTTCTTTTTTCTCATCCCGGTCACGCCTACGATCTCGATCGGAGGGACCATCTCGCTTTCGTCCGAGACCCTTACCTGTTAAATAAAAAAAGTGTTAACCCTAACGATATGGACATGCGCGAAAGCAAATGCGAAACATACCTAGGCGTCGTGGCCTCCAGTCAGCTCGAGTCCTCCCCCTCTCGACATCAGTAAGGATGCGGTAGCCATCGATTTTTCGGCCATTGGCGTCCTTGTTAGCAGCTA